TGTTATTCTATTTAGGTGGAGCAATCCAAACTCTCAACAAAAGTATAAAAGAGGACTACAGGCCTATGTAAACACCTCAATCAACTTATGTGCGGACACTCCCCAGTCCGAGGACAATCTCTCATTTGGTGGTACTGGGCACGGTTGAACCATCTACGATGAATGAAGTTAATGATAGGAAAAGACTTAGATAAGAGAATACGTTATTGTATCTTATTTTTATAAAATGTTGTAGTCGAGAAAAAGTGTTTGGCCGAAGCCGAAAAAAGTTAACTCACTTCATTTGTCAAGCAAATGATCTCCCACGAATCAAACGTCTTTTAAATCTTTGATAGCTTCTCTTAATTACGATGTTAGCTTGGTGTTTAAGTATCACCTATAATGATCGGAACATCTCATACTCGAATTCCTCCCCCATTGATGTTCATAAAAAAAGAAAAAGAAAGAGTACACGTAATGCATCCCGATTCTAAACTTGACATGCATAAGGGGAGCATATGGCCAAGTTATAAAGAGAGTTTAAAACTTTTCACACATGCTATAAGGAGTTGTTTATGGTATCAATTTTTTTTTTTATTATATAAATCTATTAATTGTATTTGCCGATATTTTTATCACTGTTGTTGATGTTTTTATCAGTGTTGTGGTATTGAAATGATAGAGTTTTTGATTTTAAAATAACCCACAAAAATTATAAAAAAACTCATTAAAATAATAAATTTTAAAAGTAAAATCCTTTATTTTTGCCGGTACCCTAGTCTAGGTCACATGCTATAATAAATGAATTCCTCCTAAATGGGAACTATAGATTGATTTGATTTAAACTCTTTTAAGTGATTGATTTTGGTAACTACAATTATCTCACTTTTAGTGTATCGGACCCCCCTGAACTGTCTAGTTTTTTTTCACATATTGCTGCTCCTGAGGTTCGATTTAGAGACACAATTTCCCATTTGAGGATTAACAGTCAAATGGTTTTTTTCCTTTTTTTTTTTTGGGTTTTTTTTTTTGTATATTAATTGTGTATTTTTGAAAAGATTTTATTTAATTTTGAGACCACTCCTACGAATTTATTAAAGTTATTATCTGGTGTATTTGGGTACTAAATACTATACATGTCTGAAAAGATTAGTTTGATATTTTAAGAAGTGTTGATACCTTGTTAGCAAACAAAGAAAAGAAATGTATGCCAAGAAGTCTTGATACCTTGTTCATAATAAGATCACAGACTAACGCATACTTGATTCATCCATCGGGTTCATAGATAGGCTCTATGGAACTACCATCCATATGGGTTAGACATTCACACACACACATACATACATATACATATATTTGAGACTTCTTATTTCATAAAATCTTGTTGGAGACCCAAAACTACTCCATCCACCCGTCGGATTGATCGATGTCTTCTAGAGATACCAAATGGATCAAAATGTAATGAATTGAAAAGTAAAAAATAATAAGCATTTTTTTCCTTAAAGTAAAATAAAAGGCAATTTAACAAAATAACAAGCATTAAGCTCCAAAAAAATAAAAAAAAAAACAATAGTATTAGGTGTGGCTTTGTGTGTTTGGACTTTGATGCAATTTGTGGTTGACCTGACTCATCTACTTGGGCTTGTCTTTTCCCCTTGATTAGCGGGGGGACACGTTACCGTTACAATGAAGTCATCTGCTTAACCATTATTAAAGTTAAATATATTAGTTTAGTAGTTGAAAAGGTTCAAATTACTCATATAACCTTATCCTTTTCAACTTTAACACTTGGCCAATTACCATTTTCCTATTGCTAATATAATCTTTATCCTTTTCAACTTTAACACAGTCAATTACCATTGTCATTGTCACTTTACCTATTTTCCAATAGGCAAAAATACTTTTTTTCCTATACTTAATTATATTAGAGGTTGTGCACACAAGATATTTGCATGTAAGTGATGATCAATTAGAAAAAACAAAGTATAATAGTGATGGTAATTTCAAGAATAAATCGTCATAAAAAATAGATCTAAAAAATAAACAAAGGGATTATTGGCTTCAAGGACAAAATGATTGACTTGCAGGCAAGATTTCAAGACAGTTAAAACGTTAATCTAGCTCGGCCACAATTAGAATTAGTTCAACCATTTTTAAACGAACTCGACTAACCTAAATTAGTTCAATCTACTGGACTAGAAGGTAAAAAACAGTATCAGACCCAGATTCAAATCATCAATGTCACGTCAGCAATTTTTGAAACGCTACGTCATGGTTAGGAAAATATAATTTCTACATGATCAAATATCCCCGGCCAAAATCCTAGTAAACTAAAGGATTATTCCCATCATTACCTAAGAACCACTATACCTTTCAAGTATAAAAGGGAGAACCCTTGTCTTGTAATGTTAGACGAGTAATTGCACACTAAGAAAGGTCAGTTATATACATAAAACTGTAACTATCTTCTTCCTTTCCAAGTAATATAAACATTAGGAATAAAAGACTCTATTAGAATGGATTAATCAAGTTCTTCAACTGATGAATCACTTAACACTTTGTGTTCTTAGTTTTGTTATCATTTTACTCCCCCCCACATTTCATATTTTGCACACCTACACCATTTGGAAAGCTTTTCAGTCTTCTTTGGCTCATTCTTTCTGATTTCGAACAACATCAAGTGACAATTATGAAGAGACATATAAGTATGAAGCAAAAGAAAAAGTTATGGTGGATTATTATAGACAATCTATAGGTATTATAGTCATTTTATAGGTAGAGACCGAAACTCAACTCTCCCTTCTTGAATATAATAGATAACCCATCCAAACCAATGGCTTAATTAATATTCATCACCTTTTGTTTTATCCCTGTAACTTATTGTTAGGCATGTTAAAATTTGACATAACACGATTAATTAATCGACACGAATTAAATGAGTTTGAGTGAGATTTTAATAGGTTTGGATGGTAAATAGGTTGACCCGTCAGATTGTAAAATCTATTAAACCGTTTATCACACGTTTACCTGTTTAAATAAAATTAATATAATAATAAATTAATAATTATTTTAAAAATTAGTAAAAAAAAAGTAAAAAAATAAATATAAAAATAAATAAATTAGTAGTTCAAAGACAAAGGAGAGGAGATGAGAATAGTTCATGACAAAGTCAAACCAATCTTTTTTGTTTTTGTCCTACATTGGTAAATGAGGAGAGATGAGGATGCCTGCCTTACCTATAAAAGACAATGGTCTCTTTCGTACTTTTTTAGCTTTCAAATATGATTTTTATGTGAAATTTGACTATAATTTTCTCTTTTTTTAAGATAAATACAATTGATAGTAAAAAAAGTGGTGTATTAAATTTTGTTGATATAATTTTTTTTAAAATTTAAACGGATTAAACGAGTCATATCGTATTATCCGTTTATTAAATGAATCGTGTTTGTGTTGAGATTTTTCACCAATTTATTAAACGTGCCGTGTACGAGTTTGCATATTTTTCACCCATCACCTGTTTAACTCGACATGTAACCGTTTAAACATTAGACAAATAATTGTTTGTTATAAAATAAGGATCAAAATTTTATATTGGTGTATTGTTTCGATCATATCAGAAACAGAAAAATTTTGACGTATTTTGAAAATATTTTGATGTGTTTCTAAAATAGAATAAAAAAATAAAAAATTTAAGAATTATGTTTTTAAAATATACCAAAATATTTTAAAATACTTTAAAATATTTTGAAGTAACTGTGCAAATATATTGAAACATTATAAAACATTATGAAATATTATAAAACACATCAAAATATTATAATTTTGATTTAATCACCCGTTTTGGTCTCTTGAAAATAAAAACGTTTTGAATATTTGACTGTTTCAGAATAAAATATTGATCATTGATTATAGATTTGAACTTTTTATTAGAGAAGAAAAGTAAATATTAATCACTCAGTTTTTCGTTATAGTCAGTCACGTAAGGTGGACACAGCAGGGCGTTTATTAATAAATTCGGATATAAACCGAAAAAGGTTATAGTTGGAACTTGGAGGCTAAGTTCGTAATTTCAACCAAATGTCAGACTGAGCACGAAACATTCCCTTTCCCATTCATCCACTTCCAGGTCCCAGGTGTCTGTGTCATTTCTTAATTACATTCCAGCCCCTGAATTTTTTTAATTTCCTAAAGTAATATCAAAAATAAATTATTTTTTATCGCCTTATCAGATCTCAACGGCTTCCTCCATAAAACATGCATGCCACCTACCTGAAAAAAAAATTCAAATTTCTTAAAGCAACAACACACCAAATCTTCCATTGAATGAAGTTTCGAATACTTCTCGTTTTTTTTTTTGTTTTTACAAAATGTTTTGTTTTGTTTTCCAAAACACCCACCACTGCGTTTTAAAAGTTTGTTTTTATTGAGATAATTTCTGTTTCTGCCATTTAAACCTTTTCTATCTGTCTTTCTCTCTCTTCTCTGATTTGTTTCTCAACAAATCTTAACCTGGCTATTGTATAATCTTAGAACTTGCGACTTTAGTCCAGGGAAAGCCAACGCGTCCTCTCTATTTTTGCCAAAAAAGTAGTTTTTTAACTGTGTTTTTGCAAAACGTTTTAGCGCAACATATTTGCTTTTTTCAGCTTTCTTGAATCATAGTTTTGACAGCTCAGAGTTCCATGCAGTCGTAGTTTGTTTTCAAGAATTGCTTTCTCGCAGCGTTTTCATACGAATTGATTTGTTGCTAAATCGAACAATTCATAGTTGGATTTATTTCTGTATCTGAAAATTAGGTGTGTTCCGCCATTTAGGTGGGTTTGATCCTTGAATTTGGAGAATGACTCCGTAATTTCAAGCTTGCAACGACATTTTTTTCGATTTGTGATCTTTTAGGGTTTTATGCTCGTTTTTGGACAATGTCGCCTTCGACATTGTTCGAATTCGTAGAATCACACCACTTTGAATGTCATTGAGGTCATTCTGTAGTCGATTTTTTTAGAGATTTTCGGGGGGTAAAAATGTTGTCAGTTTCGCCATCTTTCCTAGCTCGTAGTTCGCTGGAGGAAATGCTGGACAGCCTCCGGCAAAGAGACGAGAACGAGAAACCAAAGGACTTGCCACCGGATTTGCCGTCTCGGCCTCGGCCGACCGCGAGGGCTCGTCTGCCCACATCGAAGAGGTCATTGCCCAAGAACTTTGCAATTGGAGATGCGGAGTCACCGGAGAGCTCAGCAGTTTGTAGTAGTAAAAAGGAAGAGGTTAAGAGATCAAGAGTTGGTAGTTTTGGGGCCAAAAAGTTTAAGGATCCCAGTGAATCACCATATGTCATGACGTCGGAAGAGAAAGAATGTGGTCAGAAGTTGGAGGAGAAAGATGATGTGACTTCTGCGGGGGCGAATTCCGATTCTCTGCCGAGGTTTCGGAAGTCTGAGGTGGACGACAACATTGGTTATTTTATTAAGAAGGTAAAATTATGATGGAATTTTTTTTGTTTCATTCTGTTTGCTGTATCTCTCTATATTTCTTCTCTTAGTTCAGTGGTTAGCTTTGATATCATAAATAGACATAGTTGTGGGTACTAGAATAGTTTTTACTCTTTAGCAACCATAACATTATGCGGCATTTTGTAGTAACGAATAGGCAGGGTTAAAGTAGCCACAGTTGGATTTCTTATGGTATAAACACAATAGTTCTACATATCTCATCCAAACACCACTTAAGACTTAGGTGAAATATTATGGAGAAGCTAAGTTCTAATATTTGTGCAGTCTATGGTCCATATTGAGTTCTTGAATTATTCTGTATTTTGTTTATAATTTATTTCTATGAAAATATAGGAATTATTATACATTATATTTTCATCTGCTGAACCTGTTTCTTTCTGTGAGTTTAGTTTGGTTATAAGAGTTTAAACTGGTATCTCATTTTGGGGCAGATGGTTTTATTGAGTTCTCCCCTTCTATACTTGAGAAAAAACAGAAAAATTTGAAACATGCTCTGTATTCTTTATGGAATTTTCTGGAATGTTTCAGTATATACAGTGAAACTAAGACATTCATATGCTTTCATTCTTCTTTTTCACCGAGACCTTGTTTCTGTGCCCATATTATGGTCTGTAGATGTCTTGCATTTCAGTTTTAGTATTTGTGTCATTGAGTAATACAATGTTCAACGAGCCACGCGACAATTTTTTGCAGCTGCCTAGGAAAAACATTCAAGTTTAATTATTATTGTCATAGCTGATCTCTGCCTATGAGACTGCATGGTTAGAGATTTATATATTCCATCATCAGTAATTTCCCTCATTCACCATTTATTTGGCCTAAAAGCACTTATGTTGAAAGCACTTTGTTTCAGAAACTTTGTGTTTGGTGTCGGCTCCAAAATGGGCAGTGGGAATCAGGACATATACAATCAACTTCAGGAGAGGAAGCATCTGTTTTGCTTCTAGACGGAAGTGTGAGTTCATAAGTTGTTGGTTAAAACTTATAATTGACTGCAACTACTTGAATACTTGTACATGCACTTACGCGATGTTATTATTATAGGTTGTTACAGTGCCCACAGGAGAGCTCTTGCCTGCCAATCCAGATGTCCTTGAGGGTGTTGATGATCTTATACAGCTTAGTTATTTGAATGAACCCTCGGTTCTTCACAACCTCCAGTGTAGATATTCTCGTGATATTATTTATGTATGTATTAGACGTCATATTTTCTCGCTTATTGAAATGACTTTTGCTGTCGACTCCTTTGATCCTATTTTTTTGTGTTTGCTTACTGTAGAGTAAGGCAGGGTCTGTCCTAATATCAATCAATCCTTTCAAAGATGTACAACTTTGTGGAGATGATTTTGTTACAGCTTACAGGCAGAAGCTTGTGGACAGCCCTCATGTGTATGCTATAGCTGACACTGCCTATAATGGGATGATGAGAGGTGAGTTAAATCATACTCCAAAGAAACTGGAAAGAAATTTTTTTGTTAGTTGTTTGTTCCATGATTCCAAAGCATTCATTGTTATTTTCTCTGCTTGTATTGTGAACCTTGCAGATGAAATAAATCAGTCCATCATTATAAGGTTAGTTGAAGTGTCTTTGTCGTACTTCCCATGATGTGGAATGCTCTTTGTTGGTGCTACGCTTAGGCCTGTCAATGGACCGGATTTCAACCCGAATCCAAATCCATTTAAGCAGATATGGATCAGTTTTTCAATCAATTATTCAATCCGATCTGAATTCGACTAGGGTTGTCTAAATGGATTTGGATATGAATTTATAATAATCCGATCCGAATAAAAAAATATATTATGTAAATAAATATAACACATATGTCATACTTATACCAGAAAATAAGTAAAAATGGAGTGAATATCACAATGTAAGACCCACTTTTTTCATTTTTATTTTTTTTCCTCCTTTTGTTTGATTTTTCATTTTGCTATTACTTCAAGTTTTTATTTTTGCTTCTTTTTTTAGTTCATTTTCCAAATTCTTATTGTTAGTTTTTTTGGTGTACATGTGTTTTTTTGTGACAATCGGATCGGATTTCGGATTGCGTATCCGAAAATTAACGGATTTGGACATGGATTGAATTTTTCAAATCCGTTGGATAATCGGATCGGATCGGCAAAAACTTAATCGGATTCGGATATAGGCCAATCCGGTCAATATCAAATCCGTTGACAGTCCGCTAGGTCTTTTCCAATGGTGTCTTACCATGGGTATCAAGTCTTACCTTTATATTTTCATTATATTGATCTTCTAATATCGTGTTCATTTGATTTTTCCATCTATAATATAGTGGAGAAAGTGGAGCTGGGAAAACTGAAACAGCAAAAATTGCAATGCAATACTTGGCAGCACTTGGTGGGGGTAATGGTGGCATAGAATGTGAAATTCTTCAGACAAGCTGTATACTGGAAGCATTTGGGAATGCAAAAACATCCAGGAATGACAACTCTAGCCGTTTTGTGAGTTCTACCACCATCATGATTTATATAAGTGTAAGTAAGATTTATTATTCCGAAGAAATGCCACTCGACTTACTTATATCCTCATCTGGTGCAGGGGAAGTTGATTGAAATTCATTTTAGTTCAACAGGGAAAATATGTGGTGCTAAAATCCAGACCTGTAAGCATGTTAACATTGAGAAATTGCAATTATTGAACTTTATTTTGTGACCCCTATTCAGTTTTATACTGATTTGACTCACTTCTACAACCTTATATGTGTTTGTCAAACATCAACGCATATGATTCTCATGGATAGTTCTTCTTGAAAAGGTAAGATATTTTAATATTTGTATGCTAGTTTTGATTTTATTTTACAACTCTATCTAACATGTACATGCTCATCATGTATTTCCTAAACAGTCAAGAGTGGTTCAGTTGGCCCGTGGGGAAAGGTCATACCATATCCTCTACCAACTTTGTGCTGGGGCTCCTTCGGGTCTCAAAGGTTGTCTGCATCCATTCATTATTCCACTTATGATAATTTGGTGCATTCATTCTTTTACTTAACAAGATAGAAAGACATTAAAGTGGTTGTGAATGGTGAACAACTTGATGTCCATAATTTGTGTTGTGTGCTGCCACATGTCAAACTTGTGTGACTGGTGGATGAGTTGAAGTGTTGAAGAGGTCTATTTTAGTTGTAGCATTGTTATCTAGCTAAAACTTATTAATTTTTTTGCAAATGCTATTGGACAAGTCAGAATCTGCGATGTTTTAGAGGGTGAGATCCTTTGTCAAAATTTCTGTGCCACTTGCAGACTGCGGTTTGTTGTGGCATCAGGCATTTGGCATGCAACAGGCTGGTTGGGATCTGCCTGACATATATACCCAGAATTTCTGATGAAAAGACAATTTTGTTTTGTTAAATCTTTCTAACTATTGACCTTGAGCTCTTAAGAAGATATATGATGCAGTTTTCTGCTTTAGTAGTAATGGCCTCTTATCATCAGTGTATGCTTTTCTATACAGATAGACTGAATCTGAAAAGGGCTTCTGAATACAATTATCTTAGTCATAGCGACTGCTTGGTAATCAATGATGTCGATGATGCTCGGAAATTTCAGATGCTAATGGTAACCAAAAACATATTATTTTACAACCATAAGCCTTGGAATGAAATTCTTTGTTCGATACGGTTGTCATCTACCTAAACATATTTGTATGATTCTATTATTTTCTTTGGTTTGACAGGAAGCCTTAAATACTGTTCGAATTTGTAAAGAAGATCAAGAGCATGCATTTGAGATGCTTGCTGCGGTGCTGTGGCTGGGAAACATATCATTTCAAGTCGTTGACAATGAGAATCATGTACAGGTTGTGGCTGATGAAGGTAAGATCTATTTGCTTGGGTTGGTAGGATGCTACATTTTCGATGATTTTCCTGCAACCAATGTTCTTTCAAAGGACATTTATCGCTAGATTTGAACTTCTAAGTTCTAACTCTCTAATATTGGATTTTCATATGTGGTAAGAGCATGGATTTTGATCTTTGCAACTTAGGAACTACAGAATGATGAGGTCAAGTTTACGTGATGCATGGCAGCATGCACCTTGATTTGTCTTTTTCCTTGCCAACTAGGGTTCTATCCCAACAAAAATTATGTTCTAGGAAGTATCGGCAGGGATATGGAATATGGTACGATATGATAGGGACACTGTAATATAGCAAAATGGAAAAAATAGGATACGAATTCGGTAAGATACGTGAATAAATAAATATATTGAGAAATATATTGCATAGTGTACTATATTATAAGATTAAATATTGATGATTCAATTCATAGATGTGCACTTGAAATAAATAATATTAATGTAAACAAGCCTATTGTTTATTGCAATAAATAGATACTATAACAAATATTAACAAATCCATTAATCTTAATTGACCAAAAAATAGTTAAAATTTTTCATTCTTCAAGTATTTCAAGGAATAACCTGTCTAAAATATCAAAGATACAACAAATTGTAAAAAAGATACCTAAACCGGTGCTTGATTTCACTTAATAACATTCTATAAGAGTGTCTAGTTTAATAAATAACATATTGAATAAGTCAACTATTTTGAGGTCAAAATTATTTTTTTTCTTAAATGAAATCACATATTTTTAAGAACAATATTTATTTTGCTTATTTAACTTATTTACTTCTATAGCCTATTTTAAAGAATAAAAAATGATGTATTTAGCCTTGAAGTATCCTTGCTATATCATAAATCTATCGGTCATGTATCCCTGCCATACCCGCGGTCGCGTATCCCAATTGCATCCAAAATTATAAAATATTGTAAAAGTATCTAAAACGTATTGAGGAGTACGTATTGGATATGGATACTCCAGCCTTGATGGAGTATCCGTGCTTCATAAATCACTTTCAATTTCCTTATTTCTTGCTTAGGGGGGAATCCATGGTTCTGTTAAGTTTTTTTTATTTTTATTTTTGGGAAGGGTGCGTATGTAGTTGTAGTTCAGAACTTTAGATTGGTCTTTTAGCTTTCTGTTATGTGGATGCATTGTGTCTCTTTGGCATGCTTTACCGGACTTCTGTATATTGTATAACAAAGGAAAGGGGTCGGTATGTATATGACGCAGTGTTTGTGAATTCTTCTATGTTGATGTCCATGTGTGCTTGTGAGGTCTTCATAGCTTCATTTTTAAGAAGACACAAAGATGGGTGCTTATATAGAGGTGCTACAACTTATTTATCTTTTTGTCTTTCTGGCAGCTGTTACCAACGCTAGTAGCTTGATTGGTTGCAGTGCCCAGGACCTCATGTTAGCTTTGTCTACCCACAGAATCCAAGCGGGGAAGGATAATGTTGCCAAAAGGTTAACATTGCAGCAGGTCTGTAAAATGCTTCTCTCTCTCTCTCTCTCTCTCTCTCTCTCACGCACGCACACACACACACACGGGAACAATCCCGCACACATGCACACAATTATTTATTTGTTCTTTGTTGAGGTGACACATGTTGTATTTGTGTATATACATGGAGATACAAACATGCCATTTACATTGTATTTTTTTATATGCATGTAGACACAAATGTAGACATACATATTTTACATTACCACTCATGTTATAGCCTATAAATTTGTTATTTGTTTTTGTATAGGCAATCGATACGAGAGATTCGTTGGCAAAATTCATCTACACAAGCTTGTTTGACTGGCTTGTAGAAGAAATCAATAAATCCCTAGAAATGGGCAAGCGGCTTACTGGGAGATCGATTAGTATTTTAGATATTTATGGATTTGAGTCATTCAAGGTATATTGTTAGTAGCTTCTTGTTTTTTAGTGCTTATTGTATGATACAACTGTGGCCCTTTTGATGACCGTATTCTCTCTTTTCAGAAGAATAGTTTTGAACAGTTCTGTATAAACTATGCAAATGAGAGACTACAGCAACATTTCAATCGGCATCTATTTAAACTTGAGCAGGAGGTGAGAATCTCAAATATATTAGATGATTGTGGTGCAATGGTTTCTTAGTGTAGGCTTTTTTTCGCCCAGCTTTCAGCATTGAGTTTTTATTTCACATGCTGAACCACAATTGGATGCCATATTCTTATGAAAACTGCAGTTGAGGACACTTTTGCGCAGATTCCAGGACCCTGTTTCATAATCTTCCTGCACTGAGTCGATTTATGCTAACCACAAATCACTGCATATAATCTGGTCTATTTTTTTTTTTTTTTTGCCGTTCAGTCTCGGTAAAAGGTCTCCTCTTCCACTGATTTCTTGACACTCCAATGAAATCCCATAACCAACTAGATGCTTTACAACATCGTTCTTGGAACTGCTGAGAGATCTTTACTGCAATCTGAATGATTGGATATTAATCCCATAACCAACAATTTTACCTTGTTGTAGGAGTATGAATTGGATGGTATTGATTGGACAAAAGTAGATTTTGAAGACAATCAAGAGTGTTTGGATCTGTTTGAGAAGGTATTTCTTTCTTAGGTCTTCTGTGTGAGTCATTTTTTTTCCATGAGTTCATCAGAGTTTCCACTGTTTTTGTGGAGCATTTGGACTTTATCTCTTATGTCACGATGCTGCAAAGGATAGGTTTTCATTACACCTCCTTTTGTTTTTTTTTGTTTTTTAGGGTCTTTCTTCTTTTGTTTTACTTTTCTTTTTAAATAAATGAGTTGAAAGAGAATGGATTTCAATCCAGTGCCTGCTCCATATTGTCCCAAGGCCGAGAAACCTGTTATATCTGTGACGCTTTTGGTGAATCTTTCCCATATATAAAAATCTATGTTTTATTTGTCGTATTATTAGTTGTGTTGGATTGTGTATTTATTGTCCCAAATATGTTTTGCAGAAACCTATTGGGCTAATATCTTTATTGGATGAGGAATCAAATTTCCCCAGGGCCACTGATTTAACGCTAGTCAATAAGCTTAAGCAACACTTGAATGCTCATTCTTTCTTTAAAGGAGAAAGAAGTGGAGCGTTTAGTGTCCGACATTATGCTGGAGAGGTTAGTTTTGCTTAACACTATTTCTGAGGATGTTTGTGAATTTGTGTGTCAAAGAAGTCTTAGCCTGAAGTAATCTGAAATCTGAATTTCACAGCTAAAAATTGATGTTTCTTTTAAGCCTGTCGGGTTCGGCTTTTGTGTAATAATGATGATGAAATTAGCAACTATCAAGTTTTAACAGTTCAAAACATTACAAAATTTTTGCAAATGTCGACAAATACAGCCTTTAAGTTGTGCAATAGTAAAAGTTTAGTAATGTAAATTTACCCCCTAAAACAAGGTGGGGATATATTTTCTTCTTTTTATTTTTTTTGTCTCGTGTTCCCTTAAAGTTTTTTTTTTTTTTTTTTTTTTTTGGGGGGTGGGGGGCGGAAATTAGCCTCAAAATGGGTGAAACCATGAGTTAAACATAAACATGTGCTTAATCTTGGAGGGGACCTCTTGAAGATACTTATTGTAGAAAGACCTTACATTTTAAGATAAGTTAAAATATGTGACTCTGTTTATTGGAGTTAGGGATTTTTTTTTTGGTGGTTTTGGGGTGGGTGGTGGAGGGATAAAGCTACAACAGCTATCATGTTGCTTCAGATATACTATCCCGTCATCTGAGTCTGATTGATCAATGCAGGATGTTGATCTTTTCAAGGCCTCTTTATTTTGTGTTTGACTAACCTTTGGGTTATTTTAGGTAATATATGAAACAAGTAGCTTTTTGGAGAAGAACAGGGATCTGCTGCACTCTGATACGATCCAACTCCTCTCCTCATGCAGTGGACGAATGCCCCAGTTGTTTGCATCCAGAATGCTTAATCAATTCCAGAAGATATCCAACCCTTTAAGCCAGTTCAGTGTGATTGATTCTCAGAAGCAAAGTGTTGGCACAAAGTTCAAGGTAAATACTTCTCTCACATGTTCTTTCTGAACTGGATAGGTTTAGCTGTTATATAAATTTCTGAAAACAATGGAACATTTGAACATGGAATGCAAGATAAATATTCTGATGATGTGCCACTAATGATATGCGCCTGCCTTTGATCCTTATTGTTAAAAATTTTATCTGGATGCACTTGTGTTCCTCGATGAAGTCCTTTGGGTCGCTCTAATGAGACAAATCTCTATGAGTAATCAAGTAAAAGGTAGATAAATGTTTCACATTTTGCTACAATCCGGTAGCTGCTGTTGCAGAAGTTACGTTGTGTAAATTTTTTTAATGAGTTTCTTCTATGTTTGTAGGGTCAGTTGTTCAAATTGATGCAGCAGTTGGAGAACACAACCCCACATTTCATTCGTTGCATAAAACCAAACAGTGAGCGGCTTCCTGGCGTGTATGAAAAAAATATTGTCTTAGAGCAGCTGAGGTGCTGTGGAGTTCTAGAGGTAGTGAGGATCTCAAGATCCGGATATCCAACTCGAATGACACATCAAGAATTTGCAAGAAGGTGGATCATGACACCTCCTTTATATTATTTAATGGTTTTATGAGTGTTTAGGAATTTTATAAATTTGCCAGCATGAATTATAGGTATGGCTTCCTACTTTCGGAGAACAACGCATTTCAGGATCCATTAAGTACATCAGTTGCTGTTCTGCAGCAATTTGATGTCCTCCCTGAGATGTATCAAGTTGGTTACACAAAATTGTATTTTCGCGCAGGACAGGTGAGTGCATATATCTTTTGGAGGCCAATGATCTTCTCTTGCATATTGCTCCATTTAATTTAGTGAGGTGATGGTTTCATGGCATATAGTCATGTCTTGCTGCTAAAAAATCCCATGTTTTCTCGTTTGGCAGAGAAAGATAACATGTCTTACATTTGTGCACCTTCAGACATACCAATGACTTGAAATTACTATATCAAATACGTAGCCTTTGCTTCTCAGAAAGTCTGAGATGGATCCAATGATATAGGAAATTGAGATGCAGCTCTTGTAATGCAACCCTTGATTTTATTTTATTCGGTAAATCATAATGAGTGCTGCTTAGACCATTTCTTTGCAAAGTAACTGAAACTTGATACTTGTGAATTGTGTTGAATTTGGTCCCTGATAAATGCCCATGCCCATGGTGCATGATTCCAATGCACTTGCATGATAAATTTTATAGACAGTTTTTCAGTAGGTGTATAAAAATGAATTCTGTCGTGATTATTTTTTTATTGTTGCGCGTTTGTCTCCTATTTGCCAGAAATTATTGTGTTGGCGTGTTTTCTTTATGTTAGTTTTGTATCCTGGTCTTTTCTACAAGCTTCATAGGTTTGCTATCAGTATGACATTCTTCCCCTAACTCAAAACAATTTTCGTGTGAATTTTTTCTCTGATGTTGGTCTTGTGGTTATTAAGATTGGTGCATTAGAGGACACAAGAAAACAAGTTCTGCAAGGCACCCTTGAGGTCCAAAAATGCTTTCGTGGTCATCAGGCTCGGCGTTACTTCCATGAACTCAAGAGAGGAGTAATAACCCTGCAATCATGTAAGGCAAACACAGCGTTTCAAATTTCGGCATTACGTCAATGTTTCAGATTGTCATTAGTTTCATGTCATGTGCACATATTTCCTTCACTTTAAGCAGAGTTCGTGTTCCTTCAGGACATTATAGATTTTTAGTTAAACATGCTGATGCTTAAGAGTTCCAAATATAACTTGATAAGGTTTGAGAGAGTCCAGAATTTATCAGTGACATTTTTTGTGGATCCCAAGAATACTTTCTTTTCATGCTGTTGTGGTGTATGTTAAATTACTTGATGGAAGTTACTCAACCTGGCAGTTGTTCGTGGTGAAAACACTAGAAAGGAGTTGAGGCATCAGGTTGCACAAAAAATGGTTGATGAGAAGCTGTGGGCAATTGTGCAACTACAATCTGGTAGATTTGATGTAATTTCTGTGACAATTCTATTGCACTTCAGTTGAGTATAACATTCTCATCATAAGATTCTGTTTCGGCAGTAATCCGTGGGTGGTTGGCTCGAAGGCATTTTCTTCATCTGCAGAACACGAAGAAGTTAAAAAGTGATACTGTAAATTTTCTAGGAAAGACTGGCAGGAAGATTTCAGAGGTGAAGGTACAATATATGCACTCATTACCGTAACAGATAGGGTTATTTTTCATATGCTTCCTGTTGCATTTACCAGTAGCAGTAAGTTGTGAATATTTCTTAACCATAACCAAGTGTACCCTTGCATCCGGTCTTGTGCCCAGCATTGAAACCAAAAGTACTATCTCACAAACTTATTGTGACTTTTTGGTTATGTTTGTGTTCACTTCCCTGAGATCAGAAACGTTTGGTATGGAAAGTCACTACATCAAAATTTTTGAAAGAGGACAGGCCAATTGCTTGGGGCTAGATTTAGGTTTTAATTTTTTTGTTCTGGTCAAGATTCACTTTAAGATCAAAAAATTATATTCTGGCCTTTGGTTTGAAAGATCAATGTGCAAGACTAACATGAAAAGATTATTTAAAGGATAAAAGTCCAAAATCCAAGTCAAAAAACTGTACTTTTATTGGTAGATTGGTGTTCACTAATTGTTTTTTAAAATATATATGTTTTTTTGCTTTTTTGAATTTCAAGTACTTTTTAAAGTAGTGTTTATCTTGCTTTTTGTTATGTCCTTATCCTGGTTTGCTGCTTTTCTAGTTTCCTTTTAGCATATGTATAGTAGTGTATATTATGCTCTTGTGCAATGGTGTTATTTAGTTCTAAAAATCATGTAAATCACTTTTGCAAAATAGTAATCAAATATGCTTTCCTTTTGGAGAAATTTTTTTTTTCTTTTGTAAGATAAGTTAAAAGAGTGTTACCAAATGGTAGCATCGTCTTTTTTATTAACTGAAAAAGTAAACACCTATACTTTTGCCATTGAGTAGACAAGAGTGGGAGAATAGGGTTAGGTTAGGAATGAAAAGCAATTGCAGTTTTCTTTACTCATGGCTTGTAGATGTTGGGAATTTCCGAAGATTATGTGTGACTCTTCCTGGCTGTGCAGGATTTGACACTACAGCAAGTTCACATTCTGCCTTTGGGTGTGGAAGAGCTTCAAAGGCGTGTTATGCAAGCAGAAGCAACCCTCAGCCAGAAGGAAGAGGAAAATGCAGCATTGAGAGAACAATTAAATCACTTTGAGGCGAGGTGGTCAGAGTATGAAGCCAAGATGAAAGCAATGGAGGAGATGTCACAAAGGCAGATAGCCTCTTTGCAAGTGAGTTTGGATGTTTATACATAGATATTGTCATACAATTTTTACAAAGTGTCTTATTATTGGCCAAATATTGAAAATACTGCTAGAAAGATTCAGAAATTTTGTGCAAAAAAGTGCAAATTTGGACAGTTATATATTCATGCAATGGAACTAATTCAGAGGCAGTGGATCTATGAAACAACAACCATTAGATGATGAACCATGATCATTTTCTGATTCTGATATTGCATGAGTGGACCAATCATAGGGGGGAACTCACGATCCCTTGTCTTGACATACCTGAAATCACCTCTCGTTGAAATTATAAGGACACATTCAATGAATCCATAGGCCCTAGCTTGCATTAGACCAAGTAGTAGAAACCAATGATACATGATTGCAGGTGATCTTAAAATTTGCTCTAAGCCCTCAGGTGATCTTAAAATTTACCGAAAAAAGAAACATTGGCATGATAGAGAACTGTTACTTATTTAACTACTTGTTTGATGCACGGTTTACACTTGAAACATTTTCCCCCTCTTACATTTCCCCATTTGGGAACTATAGAATTATAGAAAGTTAAAGGGATTGAAAATAAACTTTTTAAATATTTTTAAATAAATAGTGGTAAGTTAGCAATGGTGTGGAGAGGTGGTTATACGAGACGCATGATAAAACATTATTGGAGGAAACTGTCCATTCTTTATTGATAATTCATAATTCTAAAAAATAGGAAATAGGGAGGGAAGGTTTCCCAACTCCCAAGGTCTTCCCCTGTAATTTGATTGCGATATATGATAGTCTGGATGTTGTTATACTTTAACATGTCATAAATTCATAGTGTACAATACTTTGTTCGCGTTAGAGTTTCCAAGTTTAATACTCATATACCTTCAATTTGGATGCATCATGGAAGTGATAGTCCTATTTGTAGCAAGACCCAATTGAAATCAACTTCAGGCTGACTTGGTGTTGCTTACGACAATTGCTTGGGGGTCCTTGGAGAGTCTCATGTCGGAAGGAATTGTCGGACAAAGTCGAAGTCTATGCCAATTTTGCATGCATCAGTAATTGGTCAGTATTAGTGAACCATATTGGTTAAGATGTGCTGTAGAGTACTTAGCCCAAAAGACCAGTTAGTTTTGTGGGATTGCTATGGCTTTGGTAATTCACATGGAGAAGTTTATAAAGGCATCATTGCAGCCAAGAAGAGCTCCTACCCTCATGTTTTAAGAATGGAAGGTTTCCTCCAATTATAATCTATCCTATACCGTACCAAAAAAAAGAGGAACTTTTGGTACCAAAAAGTAATTTGTTGGTATCATACCAAAAAATTATTTTTAGCCATGAATTTTGGTTTGAGTTGTTGATCGTGATATATCACAACACGGAAACAACAAAATAAAACACTTTGTACTTGTCACATTTGGTACAGTTCCGCTACCTCAATGTTTTATAGCATATCAGGAGCTGTTTTGACCGATAGCATAAATTGTACCAAATGATGTTCTCGGAAGACAAAGCTACTGATCTCGTGTGTAGAAAACAAAGTGAGACCTATATCATGTATAAAAAATATTCATGCCTAAGGCTATATTTTCTACGTATTAATGCAGATGAGCCTCACAGCAGCCAAGAAGAGTCTTGCTGCTGACAACACTGCAGGCCAACCTGGAAGGCCAGATGGTTCTCCATCACCCTGCTATTATGATTCTGAGGATAATATGTCCATGGAAACTCAAACTCCTGGCGGAAGCACACCTATCAAATTTGTTAACAATGGTTCAGATTTTGGAGGAGGACGAGGGACTAATGGTATTAATGCAGTTAGTCATCTGGTAAAGGAGTTTGAGGAACATAGACAGAATTTTGATAATGAGGCCAAAGCCATTGTTGAGGTCAAGCCAGCTCAGTCAGCCTCTATAAATCCTGATGAGGAGCTTCGGAAACTGAAGCACAGCTTTGAGACATGGAAGAAAGAATACAAGATTAGGTTACGGGAGACAAAGGCAAAACTTTACAAGCTTGGGCATTCAGAAGAGGAAAAGTACCGCCGGAGTTGGTGGGGAAAGAAGAGCAGAAAAGCCTAGTTTTGAGCTGATTTGATTTTCTGCCAAATGAACTGGTCAAAATTCTGGATTGCCATTTTCTGGAACAGTCTCGTTCCTCAGTACACATTTACGGGTGTTGGTGTTGCAAGAGGTTAGTTGATGTGCGAGAGTGATTGCTTGTGTGTATATTTACCAATTTTTGTTACTTGGTCTTGGTGGAAAGATTAATTGCTTGCTCATAGCCAAATGGAAAGAAAGTTAAAATCCTTCCACCCGCTTCCCTCCCGTGAACAGTTTTTGAGTCTTTCTGTGAATATTCTGTTACTGATGTAATGTAGGAATCTGTTGTATTTACTAGTTAGTGATGAGAATAGGGAAGAGAGATGTTCAAAACACCTTTCGTTCTCTAAGAGGTATGTGTCATATATTGGAGCGTTAGGAAGTGTTTTTTTTTATTTTTTTATTTACCTTCTGTAAATGTTACATTCTCGTGTGAATTGTATTGTTTACCATTTATTTTCATGAACATTGAGAGTGATGGCTTGAAGGAGATCACAACTTGAACCAAATCAGATTTATTTGGAATTGTAACGGTACATAATTTAAACCTCAGGCATGGCAGACTAAGATAATCTACACGATATGTTCTGGATTTTTTGATTGAATCTGCAGAATATGTTCAAAACACAATGAGAAAGTGAAAACGTGTCTAAGATCCCGGAACAAACTTGGTGGCATAGACCCATGCATTGTTGGCAACAGGGTTCTCAAGGTGATCCAAGAGGTTCTCAAGAGGTCCTTTGCCGGTGACAATTGCTTGGACAAAGAACCCAAACATGGAGAACATGGCTAGTCTTCCGTTCTTGATCTCCTTCACCTTAAGCTCAGCAAAGGTGACTGGGTCATCGGCAAGGCCGAGAGGGTCAAAATATTGGCCACCGGGGTAGAGGTCGTTGCCCTCTCCAACTCCAGGAAGGCCGTTAATGCGAAATCCCTCACGAGTCCCATCAGAACTACTTGGAAGCCGAGTACTGCCAGAATGCTTTGAGCATGGACAAGGTTGGGGTTGCCTAAATAGTCTAGGCCACCTTCGGAGAAGATTTGAGCACCGGCTTTGAACCAAACTGGCTCTTTGAAATCCACTTTTACCCATTTCTCTAGGACTTCCGGGGTGATGCATCCCAGAGCCCCGAGCATCGCCCATCGGCCGTGGATAACCTGACATTGTTCAGCAACAAGTGTTGTCAATCTCATCATCTCTACCACTAGTGGTGGAACCATAAACTTCAATGAGGGGGTCAATGCATATTAAATCCAATGGTGGGAATTTTAATTTTAAGACATGGGCATGGCCTCAAGTCTACATTTGGTTAATGTCAGCTCAACCCATTTCAACCAAGTCTTATTTCAATTATTTGGATCCAACGTTTATCCGTCAAGTGGATGAAGCCAACAGCAGAATGAAAAGAGATTGAGACAAAGCAGTTACAAGCTAAACCAGATAGCCGATTAAATATACATTAATTACCTCAAGAGCCCTGTTCCTGGCAAAGGCCTCAGGATCAGCAGATAAGCCAGCAGTGTCCCATCCATAATCACCAGGAAATTCTCCAGTCAAGTAGGATGGAGTCTGAGCTGAAAAGGGTCCCAAGTACTTCACACGGTCCGGTCCATACCACAGTTCATTGCCCTGTTCAAATCACAAGCAAAAAGTTTCAGTTTTAGTCACCCAACCAGCCCGACAACACTGGTGTGTGTGTACATGTGAGAGAGAGAGAGAGAGTACCATGGTGAATTTGCCAGAGCCCAGAGAAACAACATCTCTAAGAGAGTTGGCGGTCCTGGTTTGACCCAAAAATGGTGTTGCTCTAACTACAGCGCTGGAACTGGCTGTGGCGGCCATTGATGCCATTGTCCTTCTAAAGCTCGCAGCTAGATTGACTTCCCCAGAGTGAAATGAAAATTGCAATCCAGAAGAGTCTAATTTGTATGTGTAGACAGTGAGAACCCATGATGAGTGGTTATAATTGCATGAATGGCAGTTGTGGTCCGTGATAGGCAGCTTTCGTGTCCACCAATCAGAAGGCTTCAAAAGATTTTCAGCATCCAACTCATATCCACAATTTGTCTTCACTTCCACCAGTAGAATTTACTGGGGCAAAATCAGAGAGTGTGTATGGGAAATTGTTTGAACTTACTTGAGGTGGGTCTTGACACAGCCATGTCTAAAGGGTATCATGATTTGTCTTCAATCCTGACACCCTTCCAAGAATTCGAACACATGCTGTTACCACTACCCATCTTTTTTGATCACAGAAATTGCCAAAAAATACAAAATAGTAGATCAAAGAAACAGCTTCATCTTTCACCTTATAGCCAACTTCAAATAGAGATCTTTTAGTATTCTATAAGAACATATCTCAACGAAATTCAGCACAACACAAAAAGTTGTCATCAGGTTTACACTGGGTACCAACAAAGAACTACCAGTTGTTTGACGCTACAGACTCATGAGCAAACTAGACGTATTCATCTATACAGTTGTGAGAGAGGAAATAATGCATTTAAAACGTTGCAAACAGAAAATTATGACCCAACAAGGGATACAAATGAATTGTCACTGCAATTGCAGCTCAACCTATTTTAATGAATAGAAATTGAGAAAACCCAAAATATATCCATCTTCTGACCACCAACCTTGCTGATGTTCCCAGAAATGTTATAGTCCTTCCCAAGTTCAGCATACCGTTATTCAACCAATACCCAATTGTGTGAAAAAGCAAATCTCTTTCCCACAATCAATGGACATTGCATTGTTGCAACATAGGATGAGAATAATCAATATTTTTATCCCACAGAGGTTTGTATTTGTCCATCCCAATTTTCAACCATGGTTTTGAGTTTCCATTAAAGTGTAATACAGCCCCCTTCTCTATCAAGTGAGGATCAACATTTGTGTATCCAAATCCCAAAACATGCCAACTGGGATCCAGAGGTTCAGTCAACCCATAGAAAGTCAAGAGTCCAGGTGGTAACGTTCCAAGCTTCCACAATGTCCTGTCAATGTTTTTCTCCTGCCAGTAGTGGTAGATGCCAGTCACATTCTTTCTTCTCCATTCAACCAAATCAAAAACATTCATTCCAAATGCCCAACCACATGCGTCAGGATCAAAATGTGCACGTATTAGTGGGTGAGAGTAGTTTAAGTACTTGTGGTATCTGTGGAATGTCTCCATACAAGTCTCAACAGCCCCGTTTACATTTCCATTCAAATCAATGGAGAAAAGCGGTGACAGATCCTTCTGAACCACGACATCATCATCAAGAAATACTACCTTCTCCAGGGAAGGGAAAACTTCAGGAATATAGAACCTGAGATGGTTAAGCATTGAGAGATATTTTGGGTTACGATACTTGATTGGGGTTTGCTATTGTCATTACTCCCAGAGAAGTAATAGTTCTGGGTGTCAGAGTCTTTGAGTTGCTTAAGGACAGGGACATAAGAAGCATTGAGCCAAGTAAAGTCTTCAAACTTCTGAACCTCAATTGTCACACCACGGAAACTGTTCGTGGAAAACCAGGCCTTCATTGGGGCATAATTCACTTCATCAGTCACAATGTGGAAGACAACCAGACTGGGACTTTTGAAGTTCAGTGAAGTAGAGTTTACCACAACTGAAGTTGCAAGTATGTTGTCAGAAAATACGCAGAAATGATAGAGGTTATTGTCCATAAGTTTCTCCACAACCTGACTTCCTCCAATTTCTTTCTCCTGATTTGAGTTCCTGAACCATTCAAGAGTTAACCTTACACCGAGGCAGTATAAACTTTTTGGGACTTCTTCGGCAGCTATTTGCCCATATTTTGAGCTCTTCTCAGTCCCAGAGCTGGATTGTTCTTCAAGAGATTGGACCTTCGCTTTCAGTCTCATAATTAATGATGCACAGTCATAGTGAAGTTGCTGGGCTTGGTATAGCAAAAGTGCCATATCACGTATTGCCTTCTCTGACTCTCCCACTGTCAGCGGAGTCTGCCAAGTGGCTGCATTAGATAGAAGGACCAGTGACTTTTGAATCTGGGCACTTAGCTCCCATGCAAACTGAAGGTTGTTGCCTTCTTTTGCAATCACAACAAAAGCTTTTGCAAGAGAGATTTGATCATTCAGTTGCCTTGAGATTGAGTGAGGGCTCAACATTTCCTCAGTAACGTTCAGGCCTTCTGTAAATTTGTTATACCTGTATCTCTGAAAATAGTATATACTGTTAAATACAAGTGACTGATTAAGCAGGCAAAGGAAAATTATAGATATGATATAGAAAGTTGACTATCATATCGTGCTAGATTTGGTTTTAATATATTAGGAACACTGCAGATGCGACGAAGACAATGGCATTATGGTAGCCATAATCTTCTCTGGTGGCTTTAAATATACGACAATGACGCCTGTGTATGTCAATGGGAGCAAACAATCACATACTTGTGGAGACAGATCACTCTTCTTCTGGGTCAAATCGACTGTGACAGTAATTTCCTGCAGTCCCTATGACTTAAATTTTGTTTGAGGTGCCCAACTCCTATGTGGTTAAATTGTAGCTTTAGGCCGAGGGTTTGCAGCAATACATAACATGGACCAAACCCATTTTTAATTGAATTTAGTAACACCATAGATTGCACATATAGATTTCTGAACACACATCTCTTCTAACAGAAGCTGCAAAGACATATCTCTGGCTCAATATTGGTGGACTAATCAAGTGTGTCTATGTTCGACTTATTCAAATATTTACGTTGTCGCAGCATCAATTTGGGTTGACATGTATGATAAACCCCAAAATGAGGAAATCTCGTTAGAGAAAAAGGCACTAAACATTGACATCACTTTTCCAAGATAGTGTTTCCTTATGACAGATTTATTGCTTGCCAAAAACATTAGTTACAAATGCTCATGAGCCCTTTAACTTTCCCAAGTTATCCCCATTACAAAAATTTCCCCCCTTTCTTTTTTTATTTTTTTTTATTTTTGTTATTTAAGCAGAACCTCTCCAAGCCCACTTTGGACTCATCCTTGCAAGAGATTTGTAATCACCATGCATCAATTAACCTCAAAAGACACAGGAAGAATCGAACCCCTGTCGTCCGAGTCTATGATTGACCCTCAGACCACTGGGGATTAAAATATTTTTCCTTTGATAAACAATTATTTTTCACTCTTCACATCGCAAAACGTAGACATGTGTTTGAAGTCAAGAAAGCTTCCATTTGAAGTAAACTAGTACCAACTAAGTAAACAGAATTAATGAACTAAGACGTCAAAAACGTACATATAGATATAGACATACACATACATAAATGTGTTCATACGTGTAATTAATGGCACACATGCCAATCAATACCTGAACCATTACTGGTGTAGAAGGAGTTGAATGCCTTCCTAGGCGAAAAATAGCGAAAATCAGCAAAAAAACGAAACCGCATAGTGGCAGCAAGAACAGTTTTGAGTACCTCCTCCTGACTGGCTTTCGATAATCGAGGGCTTTTCGTCTCATCTTAATTTCTTATTGTAATCATGTCACGCGAATATCGAATCAAACAAGTCCGAGCATACGTATAAAAATCTACAGAAAAATCTCTTTTGATTTTGCATTCAACAAATAGTGAGGAAATTAGGGTTTGATGGAGTAAGTGAAGAAGAGGTCGTACGATATGGAAGTTGCAGAGGAGAGAGAGAGAGAGAGAGTTGAGATAGTTCGTTATCAGTTGTCGCGGGACAAAACTATATACAAAGTATGCCACGACGCAAATAGTTTGAGTAAATTATATATAACCCTTAAATTATGACTTTTGTATTAATTGAACTCTTGATTTTTATTTTTTTTTTCAATTGAGTCATTGAATCCTCTACTAATTATGTCAATTGAACCCTTTTTTTTTTGTGTCATATAGTCACGTGAATAACAGACTTTAATGGAGGCATGCAGAAGGACTCAATTGACATAATTAAAGATGTTAAAATTCAATTGATTAAAAAAATTAGAGACTTAATTGACATAAATGTTATAATTTGAGGGTCATATGTGTAATTTATTTATTACTATTATGGTGTGACTTGTCGGTGGGTGCAAAAAATGCGGTGAGCGTGGATCGAACACGCGACCTTCAGATCTTCAGTCTGACGCTCTCCCAACTGAGCTATCCCCGCTGTGTTTGTTGGGTATCTCTTTTTTAATTCTTATTCTATAAATAGAAATTTACTGGCTTCAATCCTAAAACTCATGGCTCATCACATATTGGACCAATAGTCCTCTACACTGATCGGCAGGTATTATCTTTGTTTTTGTGAACTTAGGTTTTGCATTACTATTTTGATCAAATCTTTGAAACAACTACAAGTGAGTTGTGGTGATTTTAAGCGTTTGCATTAGTTTAACGTCTGTGTGATCCTTATTTTTTTTATCATATTTGATTACAAGTGAGAGGGAAGATTAAGGAGAAAAATCGAACTGTAGTGTCACAGTAGAGTGAACTCCCTTAGTGGGATAGGACTAAAATCCTCTGTTGTTTCTTTTTTGATTGTGGTCTTTTGAAAGTAGTCTTATTATACTGAACTTCATATCTTCCGTTTGTTCTTGCATCTCAGAAATGTCATCAGTGTTCTCCATTGTGTTACTACCTGTTTGTAAAGTGAGAAAAGTATTGTTCTGTTATTAACTTGTTATTGTATATGCTTACACTACTCTTGAAGGTTCCTTGTGCTGATTGAGATGAACTTGCATGATGAAATTGACAACACACCCATGTGGTGTGGGCTGATCTCTGACTCTAGAAGCTAAATCCAATTGCCAAGAAAAGTGAGCTTCTTTACACCAATTAAGAATTCTTTTTAAGTTGTTACAACTGGTGGATTTATTCCATCTATGAAGTCGTCGGTCCATATGACGTGTTGTTTTTTTTTTTTTTAGTTTTTGGGGAGGGGGATTGGGAGGGGTAAAAAGGACTTGAACCCTTGATTTCAAGAAGACAAAGTCTTCACAAGTTTATAAACTTTAATGTTAAAATGTCATTTCAAATGATATTTTTTAAAGATCTGGGTTTAAAAATTATTTTCAAAGCCACTCGGTTTTGAGTGTAAATTTTCAAAATCGGCTGAATTTGGATAAAAAACTCTTTCCAAGTCCATCTGCATTGGAACCTCATTCTTTTGCAGATGAAAAATATTATTTAGACTTAATTTCTTGATCTAATGTAACCATTGAGTGGGTAACGAATCGCCGCTAATTAATATATAAAGTTGAAAACAGTTATCGACACTTTTCATTTAGCAAGTAATTTGCAACTCAGTTCAAACTAAAAGAAAAGTTTGACTACTCTACACGAGTGCAACAGGAAATTAAAGAGAAGAACAAGAATTAATTTGTTTCATGCTTTCACTGTCTCAAAGGCTCCAAATTGATCATCTGCATCAACCTCTGGGCCTGTGGAGCCCCTGAAGAGCAAGATTGCGAGGCTGCAGATGCAGAAATGGATAAAACAGCCATAGCAGTGAGTTACAAATGAACCAAAGTCTGTCCCTACAATGCATTGCCAACCACCTCCATATGCTCTATCAAATTCCTGCATTAATTTCACACACCCAAAGCAAATGTATTACGGATCCAATCTAAGATTTTCAATGTTGTACCCAAATACGATCTGATGTAAAATTCTCGTACATGCAATACTCAACACTATAAGGGACAAGACACTGTGGAGACTTCTGGCCAAGTTTTTACATGCTTTCTTTGAAATAAAAAATAATGCTAAACAACCCAAATACAACCTAAAAAATTATAACCTAAATGCATATCATCCATTGAATGAACAATGTTCATCAACTTTTTCAATAGGACGTGAGATGATATGTAATTGAGTTGTGTAGCATTGCTCTGAAACAAATCTTAGGCATTTTTCTTTGTCTAAATTGCCAAAAGTATTGTACAAAAAACTGGCTAATACACAAGGATAATTTACCTTTTTGATGAAACGGGCTATCTCAGTAGCCTCTGTGACATCGAAGCAGTCTAGTGCTTTGGCTGCCAAATCAAGTGCATCTTGCTGCATCGTCTGAAGCATATCTGTCTCTCCGATCACGGCTTTGCCTTCTAACATAGTGAAATGCAAAAGGGTATATTTTGTGTAGTTATGCAGTGATAACACTGAAAAGTAAAGAACTGATGCGAGGTAGAGGATACAAACTGAGCAATGGAGGACATGGAAGAGAGACTATAAGAGGATGAAAATATATATGAATTTAGGAAGGAGAAGAAGAATAAAGGTGTGGTGCTGGTGGGTCAGCCACGTAGTAGTTGATCCTCTTTTTGAGGTGATCAGAGGTTTGCAGTTGATGCTGTGGCATCATTCCAAATGGCTAATCTAACACAAACGAGCCAAGTGGGCCTAATATATAGGTAACACCAATGGTACAGTGGCACCTGGACGTGCAGGGGTTGCCAAATTGCATGGCAAAGCAGTAGAGAAAAGTTTACTGCTTTTCTGGCCCGCTTATAATGGACCATGGGGTCAATTTGTTGTGGTAGTATCAACCAGGTTTTGCCGTGTGTTGGCTGAGTAAGAGATGAGCTTTTGTCTGCTTTCAATGATGTTTCTAGGAGTGAGTACCAGAACTTTCATGTCCAATTCCAAGGCGATGGGAAAGGGCCGAATAATCTAACATACCCCCGGGGACACACACACACACCCTTCTTCCCAAGAAACACATGCAATTGTTCCCAAAATTTTTTTTTTTTTTTTAATTTTTATGATGAGGAATCTCGTTAAAATAAGACTAATTTGTATCTATTTCTAGAGAATAAATCTCGTACATTTGCAATCACAAATAAATTCTAGGTATCAATTAAGTTTAGAAGCCACCAGCAAGAATCAAACTCCTAAGACGGTAAATTGACTAGATATTGATGGATTGTTGATCCTATTTTTTTAATTATTAGGGATTTGTGGCATCATTTCAAAGACTAATCGAATAATTTTATTGAGATATAATGTTTTGATTTAATTTATTATAATTATTGAATTGATTTTAAGTCTCATTAAATATTAAAATTTAATGTTAATCTAACAATTATAAAAAAATATTATATTATTCTAATCAAAATTGGACAAAGCCAAGTGGGGCTCAGAATTTTCCAGCCTCTGGTATAGTAGCAGCATATGGAGGTGAGAGGGTAGAAATGCCATGGCAAGCAGAGCACAGAACAGCATGCTTTTCTGGTCCCGCAGATTAAAGACTTGTGTAATATTTATCAACCAGGTTTTGTCGTGTGTGGGGTGAGTAAGTGATTATCTTTTGTCAGTTTGTGGCCTATGGCTAAAGAAGTGAGTACCAGGAATTTCATTTTTATTTATTTTTTTGTCAGACACTGAGTTACGTGTTAAGTCACACAGAGCAGAGCAAGAGCGGAGCCGTGGGCGAGAGTACAAAAGTGAAATTATATATATATATATATATATATATATATATATATATATAAAATTTGATGAAAATAAAATTTATACATAAATGTATGATAAATTAATGAAATTTTTTTAATTTGATAGTACCAATGAAACACGAATACAAATACGAGATGCACGTACGATACAATACGGATACGATTAAATCTAAAAAGGTAAGATGTAGTTATAATAAAATATATTTATTATTTTCAACCAATTTAATACTTATATATTTTGGTAGTTCTTTAATATATAATAAAAAAAATTAATAATTCTTTTTAGTTTCAAGAAAATATATATCGTGTCGTTTTGGTATATTCACAAAGTGAAATGACTAATTAAAAAAATCAAAATTAATATTTACCTAATATTTAGAAGTAATTTTTGTTAAGATTATAATGTAATATCTTTATTTTATACTCTTTTGACATGTAATTATAGATAATACTTAAAAAATACTCATGTGCCTTTGAAGTAATATGAATTTTTGTTAATGTATTGTATGATATGTAAATTCGAAAAGAGATGTTAAAAGTTTAACTAAAAAATTATATATGTTAGTTCAATTACAAAAATATCCGTGAAGTATCATAATATTTAATTATTATCGAATACATAAAAAATATATGCGACGAATATCGTATTCGATACGATATTTAATATGAATACGTTAGACCTCAATGTGTTTCATAGAATAGTACTAAATAAAGTTGGCATCAACAATAAAATAAGAAAGTATTTTTATGCCTTGAGAACTTCCCACATCGGAAGGCAAGAATGAATTGTAGCAGATAGAAGGTATTTTTATGCTTGGACTTGGGCCAACACTTTGCACCGCGTTGGAAGCAGAGAGAGTCTGTAAGCAAGTCATTGCCAATGAAGGTAATGGGATTGCTGTCTCATTTACAATGGAACTTGAGGCGTTCACTAGTGTAATAGGAGACTACCCCGTACTGTAGTTAGGCCACGTCGTTGCATTTGGGTCGGTTACAGTGGAAAATCTTGGGTCTGTAACTTGGGTTCGAGTTCAGTTGTGAATTCTGAATTTGTAAATAAAATTACTCGCGGTGAAAGGGTCCCATCGTGACATAGACCTGGGGCATGCTCTCCGTTCCGTAGGTAATCAGGCAGTTGGCCTAACACATCGTAATGCAACATTTTATTTATTAATTTATTTTAATTTATTTTTTAACCTTTGTGTTGGTTTGTTTAGGTATAGTGATGGAACATCTAGCTTTACTCAACGATGGATTTAGGGGATTACGTTGACGGTATCATACTGGAAATAAATACTGATTATAGATATTATTTTTGTTTATTTGTTGTCATTGATCCTAAAAATGAATAAATAAAAAAAATAATTTTACACTTATTTTATTATACGCAAATGAGGACAATTGTCCTTGGTATCATACTGGAATTAAATACTGATTATAAATATTACTTTTGTTTATTTGATGTCACTGATCCTAAAAATAAATAAATAAAATAATTTTACACACTTGAACTTATATGGAGGAAGAATGAAGAGTTATTTGTTTACATAGCAGGTTAACTATTATTTTTTGTAGGGTCTATTTATTTATTTATTTTAATATTATTAATTTATGATATCACATCAAATTGCCATGTAATATTACCGTTGTAATAAATATTTTTCCCGGAGGGGATAAGTAGGGTATTGGTGAAGGTGACCACACAAAGAGTGGAGGAGCAAGAGGTTGACGGTGTTGGAGAGAAAAAAAAAGAGGAGAAATTTGAGTTTGGGTTTGATTTTATTTTCAGGTTTTGTATGACTTTTGTATTTGACTTAGATGAGTTTTACTTAATTTTTATGAAAATGCAAAAGAGTCATTTCAAAACTTATGTTAAGTCCGTCAATCGACCATTATTCATAAGGGGTGTGAATATAATATGTCATAACTAAGTAGTTAAGTGTGGTTTATTGATAAATTTCCGGGTACCTAACTGTAACTTATCCTAAAATAATTTGCTAGACGGTGGATATATATTAGGAATAAATTTTTTTTATTTTTTTATTTTAACGGTCAAAAATATTCGAATCAATTTATATGTAATTAAATTAATTCTTTTTCCTATTTAATCAAAGGGAAATGATCATTCACACTGAGACTACGATATTCATGAAAGATAAATTATTCATAATTTGATCTCAAAAAAATTATCAAAATTTAAAATCAAGGGTCCGAGTGTATAATTCACCCCTATTATTATTATTTGAATTACTTTTGGGTTTAAGAATAAAGTTCAACGCCAAAAGAAGTTTACCTTTTTTTTATTTTTATTTTTTTTGTTCTCCATATATCTATTGTTTATAGTTGAGATTCTTTGTCAACACATCTCACCTTCCTTCAGCCACAGGATGTGGTGGCGGTCCGACACACATCAACAGACCAACTATGACAGACAACGTGTCACCTAAACCTCCGTGTCGGTGACGCAATCTCACCGAAAAACACCCAACCAAACCGCTGTTTTTGCCATTTTTTTAACAATTTTCCATTTGTATCTAATGGACAGAGAAAAATATACATATAGATTTACAGAGTCCGGCTATAGAAGAAAGAGACTCGATCCATTTTTAGCATTTTGCTTCACCACCTTTCTCTCTCCACCACCCCCTCCCATATTTCACATTGCAGCTTCTTTCTCTCTCTCTTCCATTTTTTTTTTTGATTCATTTCTTTCTCCCCAAGAAAATTGTCTCTCCCTTGATCCGTTTTTCATCGCCGGCCACGTTACGATGGGGCGCGGTCTCTTCTCCTGCTTCGGCAAAGCCTCCTCATCGTCAAAGCACGCCTCTTCGAACGAGAATGCCACCGCCGACTTGTCGGCGGAGGAGCAAAGAAGAGGCGGAGCCGTGGTGGTGGAGCTTTTCTCATCACAGGGTTGCGTCACCTCCCCTGAGGCGGAGCTCCTCCTGTCGAGGCTAGGAAGGGGTGACTTCAACCTTGACGCGCCGGTGATATTGTTGGCCTATCATGTGGACTATTGGGACTATATGGGCTGGAAGGACCCTTTTGGGTCGAGCCAATGGACTGTCAGACAAAAGGCCTATGTGGAGGCCCTAAAGCTTGATACCATGTTTACGCCCCAAGTTGTGGTCCAAGGAAAGGCCCAATGTATGGGTAATGATCAGGATGCTTTGCTGTCCTGCATTGCAGATGCACCGAGAGTCCCTGCTCCCACGCTCCAGGTTAATAAATTTGGTTTTTCAAATTTGATCCATTTTATTTTTCTCAGTTATTTTGTGCGTGCGTGTGTAAATAGTAATAGTATTGAGACCTAATTTATTGAAATTAGAATTTAGTGTTGATTCATTAGTTCTAATGAAATTATATTATTAAATTAATAAATTATGTAGAAATGAATGACGAACTCATTTAATAATATTTAATTGTATTGTATATAAACTTATGTGTATTTGTGTGCAATCAGATTCGTACAAATCCATGCATTAAATAGCTGGTAAATCTGGATATCTTGCATAATTGTTTATAATTTGATTTGCGTTGATTCATCTATTACACGAGTCTGATTACCTCATTATGATCAGAATCCACCCAAAATAAACTTGTACCTAATAATTTGTGCTGATTTTGAGTCCGATGATAAATCATGTTGAGAATTGTGAACCCTAAAGTATATATTTGCCAAGGATCTATAATAGGTCTTAGGTTCCAATTGCAAGAAGAAAGAACCCACCTTTACTATTGGATCATTAGGATTAGGTAGTTGATTAGCCAGTACCAGTCTAATACCAAATAGGTTCATATTGACTACTATAGTACTGAGCTTTAGCGTCAGTTTAGAAAATTGACAGTAAAAATAATGTGGCAGGCGACATTCCAAAGGTCTACACCAGAGTCCTTGCAAGTCTCACTTACAGGAGCTTTAAGGACTAAGGTGGACAGTCATGGTGCCGATGTCATGGTGGCTCTATACGAGAACGGTTTGGTGACTGACTGCCCCAAGGGGAGAACAAAGGGCGTGTTCTGGCCAATGACTTTGTCGTTAGAAGGCTCAATAAGCTCAGTTCTGTCAAAGACATCTCTGCGAAGAAAACAGTTTCAGGAACTGTCAATTTCTCTCTATGGGAAGGATTCAACAGCAGCAAATGTGGTGTTGCTGTCTTTGTGCAAAATGGATTTCATCATATTTTCGGTTCGCAGAACTTTCAACTGCCAGACAATTTATAATCTTTTAACAGCTTGTATTCTTTGGTATTTTCCCGCCGATGTTTCCAGGAGTTGAGTTTGGATAGCTTGTGTATTTTCAATGATAAAAATCTGGCTAGCTTTCCTGATGTTATGTACAGGATGTGTATGGGTTTAGGTTAATGACTTGTATGTGTGTTTTTTTTTCTTCAGAGTTTTCTTTGTTTTATGAGTTGGAACATTAGGAGGTGGAGGAAGAGTTCTTGCTATTTGGAATGGGATGTTGCTTTTGATTTTCTGTTAACTTTAAGGATGGTTATTTTATAGTGCTCAATATATATATATATAAAGAGAGAGAGAGAGATTATATATAAGTAATGCTACATGAACTTAAAAAGTAGACTTAATAATCTCAATCATTGAATAGATAGTGGATCCCAACAAATGCTAGGATTCACAGTGAAATCAATAATTGAGATTATCAAGTCTAGTTTTTAAGTCTACTTTTTAAATTCATATAACATTACTCATTATATAATAATACATTATAATTATTTAGACCAAAATTTAATGACCAAATTTACTTATCAAATTTATTGTACCTTTACATCAACAATGGGCTATCGAGTCTTAATGGACCGCAATAGGGTATAGGTTGAGAAACTTCCACATCATTTGACAAAGTTTAATAAAAGAAATTCTCAAAGATTTATTCCCAGCAATGCTCAAGTTGTGGCTTAGAATATGTTCGACCATGACTCAAATTTTTATTTAAATTTAAATTAATATTTGAATAAAAAATTTGATTTAATATAAATAACTTTTATAGACAAATTTAAATTTAAATAAAGAGGGGCTCAATTTTAAATGAGGGCAAACCCAAATTTAAAAGTAAATAACGATAATCATTGGATCTTTAAAAGATGGTAAAATCTCACCATTAAAAATTTGAATCTCCCTTAATTTGAGTAAAAAATGTGTTTTTTTTTTTTTGATATAAATTTGAGTCAAGGTTGGAACAAATTTTTTAAATTTTTTTACATAAATTTTGATAGTGTAAACCAATGTGGATGAACAAAAAGTGCAGGTGACGTGTGATGATTGTGGATCAAAGCTACAAGGCTCGTGTGTGATACTGGAACAAAATGCCAAGGGGATTTGAGGGGTGCCTACAATGAAAATATAGTGGTTCACCGGCTTAGGAGTTCGGCTAGTCCACTTCTTCAATAGAGGCTCTTGCTCATTCTCCTCTATTCATCACTCAAATGTATTACAATTCGGTACATCTCAAAATTAGGGTTTGTTTTTCCCTCCCCCCTCTATGGAGGCATTACATAGTATTTATAGGACTGTTCTCTATTCTGTCGGATCTCAGCTGAGATCTTTGCCTGCCATTAGTGGGATTCTCCTTGATTTTAGGAGAGAATCTTGGTTGGTTAGGAGTTTCATGCTTTGAACCCAATTTTCGCAGTTATCCAACTGTTCCTTGGTCAGTTTCGCTATCATCTCCCCAGGGGGAGCTCTAGCCCCAGACTTCTGAGCTCCTCGTATCCTACCAGACCTCCTGACCTGATCTTGTTTCTTGAGCTCGCTCTTATAGCTTATTTGAGGTATCATCAGTTGCCCCCCAACCCCTAGTTCAAGCGAGCTTAGGCAGGGGTTGAGCTGTTTTTAAACCAAGTTGGGCTTGTACGTGGCTGTTCTTGGCTTGCACATGATAGATGCTTATTTGACGGTTTTCAACAATCATGGCCTTTTCGGTTCCTGCGCACGCTTCAGCCCATGTCTCTCAAGCTTTAAATACTCTATTAGAACTACCTTTTTCCACTGTTTAGTTTCTTTGATGTCTTTCTCGCGGTCTCTTGGTTTTTTGATTTGAAGTTCTCTAATTCTTTACTCAAGATCGAGTTTCCTGGGTTCGATTTGAAGACTCGTGTTGCCTTTTTTCTTCAATTTTGCTCTAGGCTATTGCTCTTTTCTTGCTAGGTACGCCTCTTTTGCTCCCTCTTTCGACTTTCTCGTCCTGGATCCCTCAAGTTCGAGGTGGTCATTGCATTTCTAGACTTATCGGTTCTTTTATCTCTGAAACCGAAACTGCTACTTGTCTCCTCTTCCCCATTTCGTGGATTGGGGCCCCATCGTGCGAATTCTCGTTGTTGGAAGCTATTGTGTTGACCCTAGGGTTATCAGGGAGTGCCTTACTAGTATCCCTCACCTCTACCGTTCTTTCAATTTACTTTTTCATGTCCAATCATGTCTACCCCTTCAAGAGCTACTCGCTCCTCTGCTTTTCTCTTGGGGGAAAGGTCTGTCGAAGAGAACATTGATTTAGGAGATGTGGGCGAGAAAATTGACAATTTTCTCGGTGTTGATGCTGTCGACGCCGAGGAGAATACTGAGGAACCACCTCCATCGTTTTCTTCTGTGCCCCCTAATCCTAACAAAGGTAAAGGTAAGGTGAATGGGGTAGGAGTCTCTAACAGCGCAGTGGGCACAAAGGCTGCCTTTAGGCATGCTAAGCTCGTAGGACTCAGTAAGGTTGACCCTTCTTTTATGAAGATTTTCAATGGTCATTATGGTTTTCCTCCTGGTGTCCATCTCTAGTGTCTAAATAAATACACCCCTTATGTTGCCCAGGTTTATAAGAAAGTCTGTTTTTTTGTGGCCGCTTTTGAGAATGACCTTCGCTTCCCTATGCTCCCCTTTATCAAGAGTGTCTTGCAACACTTCAATGTCTGCCCTACTCAGCTCTCCACTAATTTCTGGGGTATACTGGTGGGTCTTCTAGTTTTATTTAAGAAACTTGAACTCAGGGTTCCCAGTCTTTCTTTGCTTGTGGATCTTTTCAATGTCAAACTCACCTTATCTAAGGGTTTCTTGTATATCTTCGAGCGAACCACGACTAGGCTGATCATTACTCACCTCCCGAGCTCCCATAAGGGTTGGAAGAAACAATTTTTTTTGTTGGGGGCACCAATTGGGAGTACAACCCTACTGATAGGACTGACACTCTTGGTATCCCTAGAGCCTGGTCCACCCCTGATAACTTAAGTGAGTCCTTGCTCGAACTGACTGAGTTCTAGTTTGAAAATTATCGAGTTACCTTTTTGACCTTTGCTATCCTTGTATTGTTTTTCAGGCATTTGACCTGAGCTCAGTGTTGAGGACGAGAGAGTGAAGCGAAAGTTAGATAAGTATAATCCAGATAAGTACTCCGAGCTCATCAAGCCCTAGATCTTAGTAGCACAGAGATTTAGTCCTCTTGAGGTATCGATAGAAGCTTCGCTCCCCATCTCTGTTGTTAGACTTGAAGACGTAAAAGGTAACACTTTCTAAGTTGGTTTTCTTTTCTTCCCTTCTTTTTCCTCTTTTCTGTTTAACTAGCCTGGTTCAGATCTTCCAGGCTCCTCCATAACGAAATCTACTCATGATGAACTCCAGGCTAAGGTTGATCTATTGAAGAAGAGTAGGAAGAGTAGCAAATAAAACTTTGGAGGCAGCCTTGTTGACAGGCTAAGGTGAAAAAACTGGGAGTGCCCTCTTCTCCTGCCTTGAGCAAAAAAGGACAAACTCCCTCATCTCAATCCCCGACTCCCTCTTCTCTTCAAGGGGCCTAGCTTGCTCCCAAAAAGGCTTCTGAGCTAGGACTGGCTTCCCCCACCTCTTTCTGAGGTTGAGGGAGCTTTGAGGCTGATTACTGGAATTCAGCCAAACTCTGTACCTCCTGGACCATCTGAACAACCATCCCAACTGCCTCTCCGGAGTACCAAAGTCAAAAAGAAGGAGGACCAAAAAACTGATGAAGACTCCTTCTTTGACAACGCTGAGTTGGCTGCTGGGGCCATTTCATCCATTTTCCCTGAATTTAATATTCGGAGGGTCTCTACCATGCCCCCTGTGGCCTCTTTCTGCTTAGCTCTCCAAGGAGCAGCCACTGTAAGTATTTTTACTCTCCTTCTTAGCTTGGTGCGGTTAAATTGTGCTGATTTGTACTCGTTTCCTTTTCTGCCCCCAGATGGCTCTCCATTTGAAGTACTTGATGGGCAAGGTCAGATCTTTGGAGGACTTTGCTAAAGCATTAAAGACATACGAGTTTAAGGTCGTTGATGTGACCTTTGACAATGAGAGCTTCAAAGCTTAGGTGCAAAAGCTCGAGGAACAAATGGAAATGCAGGCCTCTAACTACAAAGGCCTTCAAGCTACTAAGGATAGGGCTGAGGAAAGAGAAAGAAGGTCAGGGATGAGCTGAGGATAACCAGAGAAGAGCTGCTACTCAAAACTAATGCCTAGATCAAAGCTAGCCAGGAAGCCTTTGATGCTCGGGGTTCCCTCGAGGGCCTTAAAAAGGAGTATGTTATCCTGGCTGAGATGAACAAGAGCTTATGTAGTGAGCTCGAGGTGCAGAAGACAACTGTCAGGGCGAGGGATGACATAATAGCCGAGCTGAAGGATGATGTCACCACCAAGGGCCTAAGGATGGCTGGCCTTTCAGCGCAAAGCAGAGAAGACCTATCCAGACCTCGACTTTGACTTTATCATCCCTACTGAGGAGGAGTTGGAGGAGACTGATTCAGAAGGTGATGACAGTACCTTGGCTCATGCTGCTTCTGATAGGGCTCTGAAAGGTACTGAAATGTCAATTCCCCAGCTGTTCCTGCTAATACTTCATTTTCTGCTGATTTGGTAACGAGAGCTCTGACTGTGATTGAAGCCACAACCTCCTTGCCTGTTCTTGGCCCCTCTGAGATTTCAACTGCTGCCTTGCCAGATGGGTTGCCTGTTGAGCTACCGAGCTCTTCCTCTGTTCTTGTTACTGAAGCTATAGTAACTGCATTGCAGGACCCTTCACCTGTTCTCTCTTCAGAAACTTAGGATCTTTTATTTCTCTTGTTTTTTTTTGTTGAAAAGCATTTGTAACTTCTATTGGGGAATGTAAATCTGCCCTGCTTTCCTAACTCGTCTTTTAAGTCATCTATGTGAATGGGTAAATGTACTGATTTTTTTCTTTTTTAAAAAAAAAATTGCTCTCTAACATAATCTAACTTGTTCTGCAATGTAGTCTAACACAATAACACAATCTAACTTGCTCTTAAATGCAGTCTACTCTGATCAATACAATCTAACTTGCTTTTCAATGTAGTCTACTCTGCTCAATACAATCTAACTTGCTCTTCAATGCAATCTACTCTGCTTTTCTCAAATCTGCTCTCATTGTTTTGTGGTTAACTGCTCGCGTATTGCTCTGTACTTCCCTTGCCCCCTTTGCTTTGAGGGGAACTGAGTTCTTCTTAAAGCAAGTTTGTTGGAACTGCAAG